CTATATATGTCACTGGTCATGAGGGAATAAGATTATACGAAATTAGCTGTGTTTTCCTGGAAACTATTGATTTGTCTTGAGTGAAACTTAAACACAAGATTCCCATTTTCTTTGATTAAATGTTGTTGTTGGTTTTTCAGCAGCAAAAGCTTTGATAGAAATAAAATTAACTTCACCCATTTAAAAAGCATGGAGGAGTTTTATAAGTGTCCTAACAAGGAGCAGAACTCACGAGACATATCCTTGAAAATTGATAGCGAATACATCCTTAAGGAACCAAAAGTCAAAGGAAACTCATCGAAAAGAGAATTATTTAAGATTCACGTACAAGACGTTCATTGTATAGTGCCCCAATCGAAATTGGTTTCGGAGAACAAAAGAACAATCAACTTTTCCAGAGATTTTTATGACTTTTTCACGAATGATGAGGTAAATAATAATGATGCAGATGAATACTTACGTATCCAATTTTGTGAAATTTTTAGAAAGTGGGTGTCTAAATCTATTGTATTTTCTACATAAATTAAGCTTCAGCTTATCTTATAAATTAGTCGTGTTTAAAAAAAAAAAAATCTTATAATTTAGACCTGGTGTGGCTTTACTCTAAAAATAAATTCATCCTTTCCTTTTTTTTTTTTAGAAACACAATAAATGCAAGTATTGTGGTTGGATGATTTTAAATTTTGTGAAATTTTTAGAAAGTGGGTGTATAAATCTATTTTATTTTTTACATAAATTAAGCTTCAGCTTATCTTATAAATTAGTCGTGTTTAAAAAAAAAAAAAATCTTATAATTTAGACCTGGTGTGGCTTTACTCTAAAAATAAATTCATCCTTTCCTTTTTTTTTTTAGAAACACAATAAATGCAAGTATTGTGGTAGGATGATCTTAAAATGTGTGATCATGTTTGTCCTGGCTGCACCCAGCTTCCCACTTGCTTACGTCTTGTGTGCGGATGGCCTGTGGCATCGAGAGGTAGCTGAAGCCAACAAATCGAGGGGACAGACGGAATATTTGTACACTCTCTGGCGCATGCCTCTTTTACGTGGAAGGATTTCAACAGGAATCGTATACTTTTTTTATATGCTGCATTGCATTCAGCAAATTTTTTTTTTTGATGTGACGAGAAATACGTTTGCTAAAAAATCCAAACATATATGGAAAAAGGTCTGCTACTGGGTCCTTGCCGTCTGGGCCTACTTTATTTTTTTTATTGGCTTTAACTTTTTCCTGCACGTTGCCGTGATGATTGTAACGATACTGGTGGTGCAAAGCTCCGTGCTCTATGAGATCATCCCCATTATCAGTCTGCTGATATTCTACCTGTGGGACGCGTTCAGTCGAATCCAGAATCCCTTTAACGACTTTATGAGGACTCTCGCCGACGTGAATTTTTTCAAGGAGTTGCAGAACGGCAGTTACGCCCAGCCCTTTCCGAAGAGTCGCATTCAACGCCAAGATGTCGCAGACGGTAAGAGTTTGTATCGGCGTTGTTGTTGGGTGTTTTTGGTTGTTGTTGTTTGTTTGGTTGTTGTTGTTTGTTTGTTTTTTTTTTTGTTTTTTTTTTTTTTTTTTTTTTTTTTTTTGGGGGGGGGGGAGTTAGTGTTTTATAGGAGTGGGGGTGTTAGTTGTAAAGTTAGTGCTCACTAACATCTTTGCGTTTTATCAAATATTTCAAAAATCTAAATGTTAAGAGAGATCAATGGTGTAACTACTAAAAAAAAATAATTAATACATATGCAACTTCCAATCTTAAGTCTGGTCCAAAAAACAACCCCACAAAATGTATTATGTAATCAAGTATTATTTGTATATTATAAATACAGCATAATTATCTCTTTGAACAAGCACCACAAAACCACAAATATATATTTTTAAAAACCTATTAGTATGGTTATTTTGTCAAATATGTATGTATTTCTTATTCTTTCAAAAGAATTAACGACACAATTTGTTTTTTCTTTAATAAGGAACCGATGCAAAGGAAAACCAGGTCAACCAAAATGTGATAGAGTGGAAGAATGATACATTGTTTTTAAATATCAAGGAGCCTTTCCTTTACTCAAATAAATTTGTACTATCTAAAAAATTCTTTCTCAAATGTGCCTCAGTCGACTATGCGAGGACCCCCGGAACTCGAAGGTGGATCTGTTTCAAGGTAAGTCCTTGGACTGTATAATTTACACACTAAATTAACAGAGATTTTGTGTATTAATTTTAAAAAAAAACACACTGAAAAACAAAATTTCACGTATTGAAAAGGGCGGTAGAGATAATCTGTATGACAGAGAATTGGAAAAGTCGTATGTCAGAGAATTGGAAAGTCGTATGTCAGAGAATTGGAAAAGTCGTATGTCAGAGAATTGGAAAAGTCGTATGTCAGAGAATTGGAAAAGTCGTATGTCAGAGAATTGGAAAAGTCGTATGTCAGAGAATTGGAAAAGTCGTATGTCAGAGAATTAGAAAAGTCGTATGTCAGAGAATTGGAAAAGTCGTATGACAGAGAATTGGAAAAGTCGTATGACAGAGATTTGGAAATGTCGTATGACAGAGACTTGGAAAAGTCATATGTCGGAGAATAGGAAGTCTTATGTCAGAAAAATGGAAAAGTCGTATGTCAGAGAAATGGAAAAGTCGTATGTCAGAGAATGTAGTAATTCATTAAAGAAAGTATGATAGGGGAATTTGGTAATCCGCATACCATTGATGTTGATATTCTATTTGACATTAAAGTGGATCATCTGTAGCATATAATAATGAATAATCTACACGACAGACAATGTTGTATGCCGTAGGATAAAAAAAAATAGTTCATCCCTATAACAAAAGAATATTAAAACACCCAAAACCGCAATGTCATTTTAAAATCTACAACCGTGATCTACTTTAATTGTAAAAAGTATTAGAAGCTAAAATGTTTTTTTTTTATTTTCAAAAAACAGTTTGTGTATCATGGCTTCCATAAGTTTCGTTATTTTTTTCCTACTCATAAAAATATAATAAATTAACATAACGACCTATACGTCACGAAAATCAACATTTAAATATTATTTTTTAAAAAACATAACAACATTTTTTCCAATGGTATGAAAATAAAAATGAGCTCGTCTGTGTGAGCCCACCCCATGCTGTTCAAAAAAAAAATTATTTAACGTTCATTATTGAGCCGCAGGACAAGACGATTAAACGTTACCACTAAGAATGCATACATTAGAGGGGGCAACACAACTATTTGAGCACCAAAGGCAAACATGAAATCCGAAAAAAAAAGTTTATTTGTGTGATAATGGAGAAAATTATAGCCAAACATAATTTCTCTTTATTTCATTAGTTTTCACACTATATTTTACAAACACTTCAAACACCGAGAGACCCAAAGATAGATTAACTTACTTAGATGTAAAAAAGGATGTACTTTTAGTTATTGTCCTAAATTTATTTTTAAGTGACGCATTATTCTAAGATTTTAAGACTTTTTCAGGTTTTACATGTAATTTTAATGTGGATTTTTATCACTATTATAATTTTTTTTCGTTTTCACCAACTCGAAATAATTTAATTTTCATATTAATGATCCCTGATGTGTACGGGTGCCCATTAAAGAGGTGTTTTCTTTACCTTAGAACAGTTGCAAGAGTTATCAAAATTTAGGAGCTAATATGCAAACTTTTTTTCATCAAAAAAAAAAAAAAAAAAAAAAAAATTTCCATTTTTTTTTGTGCCCATTAAAGAGGTGTTTTCTTTACCTTAGAACAGTTGCAAGAGTTATCAAAATTTAAGAGCTAAAATGCAAACTTTTTTTCATCAAAAAAAAAAAAAAAAAAAAAAAATTCCCATGTCTTTTCCTAACAATCTCTTATAAAATCATGATCCATTTCTCTTAAAGACCAGTCACTATTGTACTCTCTACTGTTTTAAATTTTAATTATTAGTGGCGATAACATATTTGACAAGCTTCGTTTATGAACTTTCTATGTCGTTCGGTACCACGATTGATATTATCATTATCTGAGCTTGAATACACAATGAACATGGATCATCCGGCATTTAAAGATTACATGCATATCCACGTTGGAATTTTGCGGGACCAAATGTCTACAATTTTATCTGTACAATCCATTTTTCTTTTCAAAAGGCAATAGGAAAACTTGAATCGCAGATCTTGGTCGCAAGATTTAAAGAATTGTTAGTGGTATCTCACTTGAAAGACCTGGCCGATCTGTAGAAAGCCACCAACGTTACTTTCAAGGATGGTTTTTAGATCAACATCCGTACAGCCCGTTGAGAACATGTTGAAAAAAAACAACTTTCTACTGAAGAAAAACAATTACATGATTAGTTCATTCTAACTTTAAAAAAAAAATAAATACAGGAAAACATCACTGTATTTTGCTTAAAGTTATCAATTTTTGTTATATCATAAGCAATGGATTTTTTTTATATGTCTTGTATAAACAGGAAAGCCGTTAATCTACGAACTGATGCCAGAAAAAAACCTCTTGTATGTTTTTTCCGAAGTAGTCATACATCTCAAAGGACGCGCATTTTATTACTAGGCATCTGTTGTTTTTTTCTCCGCCCTGTAAAAACAAGTTTTACAAGTCCACTCTTTTGAAGTAAAAATAGATCTAAACAAATTCCTGTAAATTTTTATTAGAAATCTTTTGGTTTCAGGTGTCCAAATATTTATTTATTTATTTATTTAGGCATTTTTATATAGCGCTTATCATAAAGCTCTAAGCGCTTTACAATTATTAAAACAAGTAGCCATTTAAATGGCGTATAATATTAGTTGTTAACACATTCTGAATTTATGATCCAATTCAAATATAGTAGTAAAAATGAATGTACATCTTAATTTAAAGCACTGCAAGGAATTGTTGTTATTTCATTGCAGGCCTTCATACATTTTTTTAAGATGGCATTATTTATCGTCTTCGTGTTCTTGGTTATGATGGCTTTCGGACACATCAGCTTTATTTCTCCAACGAGCCGCACATTCTTGACGTTCTTTGCCGGACTTCTCCCTCACATCCTCAACAAATTTTCTAAAAGTTATAAATCGTTTACTAAAGAAAACTTTGATGACGACAGGTAAGTATTATTTTTCAATGTATGTAATGCATAATCCTAACATGGTGCTCTTTAACGAATCTTATGTTCTTCAGGAAAATAATATTTTAATTTTTTCATGTTTAAAATTGTTTTTTTTATTAAATCTGAAATTCTCAGATTCCAAAGAATATTAAAGGAAAGAATTGATTCATTTAACGAGAAATGGAAAGTCAAATCTCTCTATGTTGACAAAATAACAAAAGTTGAGACGCAAGAAAAAATTGATTTCTGCGTAAGGATACCAAGTGATCAAGGTAAAGGTAATTATATTCCTATTTGCTTAAAATGTTAAATGTATGAACTAAATATATAGTTCTTTATTATAATTGCCAGTGCTTTAGGCCTGGAAAAAATATATCCCTTATTTGTAATTTGGTAATTTATATATTTTGCAAATGTTCAATTAATCCCACCCCCCCCCCCCCCTCACAATCGTTCCATGCTAAAGAAAAAAATATATTTAGCACAATTCTAAGACATTTACTTTTGTTTTTAAATTGTAAGTGTACTGTGCTTAAATAGTTTTTAACTATATGTGTGGGCATTTTTTACATAAAAACGTGGCGTTCCACATGAAGAAAAAATAACTTAACGGAAACGATTTGCAACAAAGCAGTGATGTGGGGGTGGAGGAGGGTCTGAGCTCGAGTTCGGAGCTCTGAAGCAGACTTTAAGTCTCACTGCTCCCTAATTCATAAATTAAGCAAATGAATAAACTGAGCATAGCAAATATTTCAGCGCTTTAAAAAGACATTCCATAAATAAAATAGGGGATAAAAAACAAAACCCCAAATTAAAGCATATATTAATTTCGTATGTCTTTCAAACAATCGCAAGACGTCTCATGAACTAAACAATCAATTTGTCCATTGAGTAACACGATGTGTTTCAAAAGTAGTCACTGATAATATAAGTGCTAGTTGTGCGTATACACTTTGAACTACGTTTAAATAGAATGAATTCAGAAGGTTAGTTAAATTTTAAAATTTTAATTTGAAGTTCAATACAGTAGAGAGATGTCATAAAATAAATGTCTTAAATTCAGGACTTATTAATAATTTAATCAATTTAAATTGTGTTTTTTTTTCATTTGATATTTAGTTGTAGGAAATGTCAAGCATGATACACACACACACACACACACACATATATATATATATATATATATATATATATATATATATATATATATATATATATATATATATATATATATATATATATTAGATAGATAGATAGATAGATAGATAGATAGATAGATAGATAGATAGATAGATAGATAGATAGATAGATAGATAGATAGATAGATAGATAGATAGATAGATAGATAGATAGATAGATAGATAGATAGATAGATAGATAGATAGATAGATATAGATATAAGGCGGTAGGGACAACAATAAGTTGTCTCATGAAATAATTATTGAATGTATCTATTAATGAATACGATTCACGATAATTGTCTAAAAAATTTTCCTATTTTAAAAAAGTACTAGTTTTTTTATCATCGTTAGATCGTCTTTAAGTAGAATGTATTAGCAAAAAAGGTTAAATAACATTACAAATGGAATAAATTAGTGGGGTGTGATAAAAAAATGTCAGAAGTTTATGACTTATCAATTGTTTAATAAATTTAAGGTTTCTTTCTTTCATTTGATATTTATTTGTTGGAAATTTAAAAATTCTGTTGGTAAAGATTCATCTTTAAAATGTTTAGTATCCTCTTATTTTTTAACTTTCCGGCGCTCTTTATTCCTTTATAAACCAAAAAATAAATAATCATGGTACTCTATGTCTATTGAAGTATTTATTTTGTGATGTGCTGTTAACAATTGATCCGTTAGAAGATATCTTGAAATAATAATAAAAATGTCTAACTGTTTAATACTTGTAGGTAATTCACAAAGTGGCACAAACAGTACGGTTGATAGTCCCACAGAAAATGAAAACAATAATGCACAAGGCAGTCAAGTAATATCAGGTATTCAATGGTATTTAACTTTGAACGTGTACTTAAAATTTGATGAACCTTGGCCTAACATCTCCTATACATCAAGTTCAAATTGCAAAATAAGTTTTAAAAAATTGATGAAAATCTTTTCATTCGTTTAAACATTTATACAAGGCGATTTATGTATTAAATGATAGAAAAATGATAGACAGACAGACAGACATATAGATAGATAGATAGATAGATAGATAGATAGATAGATAGATAGATAGATAGATAGATTGATAGATAGATAGATAGATTGATAGATAGATAGATAGATAGATAGATAGATAGTTAGATAGATAGATAGATAGATAGATAGATAGATAGATAGATAGATAGATAGATAGATAGATAGATAGATAGATAGATAGATAGATAGATAGATAGATAGATAGATAGATAGATAGATAGATAGATAGATAGATAGATAGATAGATAGATAGATAGATAGATAGATGTCTCATGAAATAATGTGTACATTTTATCATTTTAAAAGAGTACTAGATGTTGGATATAACCGTTATATCATCTCTAAGTTGAATGTATTAACAAAAAAAAGGTTAACTTAAATTTCAAGTGTAATATAGTAGTTCGATGTGATAAATGATTGCTTTAACATTATGTTTTTTTTAAATTATTTAATAAATTGATTTTTTCATTTTATTTTTAATTGTAGGAAATGCTAACCATGCTGATGTTAAAGAATCAGGCATGGACTGTTTAAGATCTTGTTTGGGTATGTAGTTAATATAAATGTTTTACGCTAATAAATATGAACATATATTAGTATAAAATGTTAGTTATAATATATCTAACATAGTGTGTTATCATGTTATAAATCATTTATTTTTAGGGGATAGTTTAAATAAGGAATACAAAATGTATAAAATGCACTTCTTTTTCGAAAAGCTTTGGTCGAAACTATACCAATCCAAAAAAACGTAACATAGCAATCGTGATTTAATAAGAGTACATGTACAGGTTTTGTTTATAACAAACACAGGTTGGAAAAATGGTATTCAATGGTATTTAACTTTGAACGTGTACTTAAAATTTGATGAACCTTGGCCTAACATCTCCTATACATCAAGTTCAAATTGCAAAATAAGTTTTAAAAAATTGATGAAAATCTTTTCATTCGTTTAAACATTTATACAAGGCGATTTATGTATTAAATGATAGAAAAATGATAGACAGACAGACAGACATATAGATAGATAGATGGATAGATAGATAGATAGATAGATAGATAGATAGATAGATAGATAGATAGATAGATAGATAGATTGATAGATAGATAGATAGATTGATAGATAGATAGATAGATAGATAGATAGATAGATAGTTAGATAGATAGATAGATAGATAGATAGATATATAGATTGATAGATAGATAGATAGATAGATAGATAGATAGATAGATAGATAGATAGATAGATAGATAGATAGATAGATAGATAGATAGATAGATAGATAGATAGATAGATAGATAGATA